TCCACTACAGCATCTATCTACATCTATGAAGCACCTACTATGTGCTAGGCTCTGGGGCTACAACCACAATAAATGAAATAATCTATTCACAAGGAGCTTACATTCTAGGGGGAGGGGAGATAATAAAGGCATATATACCATATATACAATAAATGTAAAGTAAATAAATACGGGTAAATAGAAGTAGTTAAATACAAGGTAATTTGGGAGGGAGATCATGATCACATAGAAGGCTGTGCTTGAGCTCCATCTTGAAGGAAGAGAAGGAATCTGTGAGTTTGAGGTGAGGAGGGAGCACTCACCAGGCATGGGTGACAGCTGTCACAAAGGCACAGAGAAGGCTAATTTCAGAATTGTTGGAATTGGGGTTTTCTTATCATTTTCAGGCAGCACTTTGAACAATTGTCAGATGGTTAATTTAAACACAGGAAGAAATACAGATAGTGATGGTATCCTTCTTGTGGATTGGTGGAATAGGCAGCTTCTAAATGGCACAAATCAGATTGCCCTGTAAGTGTGGTCCAGGTACAGCTTCTGATGACCAGAAATAAGGTTGTTTATCCACATGGTTCCTTTGGGTGATCTGAGCTTAGCTTTTTACCTACTCTATTCAATCTGGTTAGTCATATTCTTTGAACCACTTTGAAAATGTGCATGGTTCTTTAATGTCCCTAACATTCTCCCTGAAGTAAAAGCCCATCTTTTTAACTCTATTATTCTTCCAGTGACATGCCTGTGATATCCCTACTCCTTGGTATAGTGTCTAGAATATAGTAGGTGCTTAATAAATGCTTATTGACTTGGTGGAATACCATAATTTCTTAATAATTGATAATAGTAATGATGATGATGTTAATGATGAACTAGTATTTTATATAGTGCTTTAAGGTTTTCAAAGCACTTTATGTATGTTAACTCATTTGATCCTCACAACCCTGTAACGTCAGCGCTATTATTGTTCCCATTTTGTATATGAGACAACTGAGGCAGGCAGAGACCAAGTGACCTGCCCGGGGTCACACAGCTAATAAGTGCCTGAGGCAGGTTCCAACTCAGGTCTTCTTGACTCCAAGTTCCATGACTTATTCACTGTGTGTAAGTTGGGGAAATAAAGGAGCTATTAATGTAAGAATAGCAAGAGACAACTAATGAACAGCTTGTATGTACACAATATCAAGAGAACCTGAGGAAGGCCCCTGACCTGAAGGAGGACCCCTGCGGCAGACTTATGGAAGGATATGGCCAGCCTTGGTATTACTCAGGATGAGTAGATGTGGATGGGTTGTGATCTGGATGAATGAAAGGAATACCAATATTGATGAGTTGAAATATTAAAAGTAATAACGTGCCCAGTATTATTATAATAATTCCAAGTTGGCTGGTACAGTTACATTATAATCTCTGAACAGGGTTAAGTGTCCTTCCTTGGCTATGATGTTTCCACAGTGCTGCCCATAGCACAAAGGCTAAGTAGAAACCAGCCTTGCCGTAGACACCCTTGTATCCCCCATGTTGTCTCTGCTTGCCGCAGTGGATTTGGACCTTTGAATGAGAACTGAGCTCTGTTCTTACATCTCATAATTCTCGGTGTTCCAAGAAGACTTGAGCTCTTTTTCTAGGTCTCGAGGGGCATAATGATCATAAGCCTTTATTAATTATGATTATCTCCCAAAGATAGCCTATGGGAATAATACCCATTATAACTACTGTGCCATTGACCACAAGGGTCCCTCATATGATGTAATCACCTGATCAACCAGGCCATAGACAGTGGTAGAATTGGACAGGATTGTTTTTTCGCCAAGGTTGGGATGAGGGAGGTACTATGTTAGGTTAGCAGGTTTTATTAGGTACATTACAGTTTTCCATTAATTATAGCAGTTTCTTGGTTTGTCCTTCATAATCTGCCTTGACTACATTCATATCCATTTGGGTGGAGTTTTTTTGGGGGGGGGTTAAGGGATAGCACCAATTTCTCCTTTCCCCCCAATCCAGCCATCTTCTCTGCTCCTTTCTCCTCTTTGCCTTTGGATCAGAGTAATTAAATCCTGCTTCTTTTCATGAAATCCTGTGGCTTCAAGAAAGGGAAACTATTTCATAATCCACAGGGAATATAGCCAACTCAATCTCTGTGCTAATGTGTGCATGACTAATTGAAATCCATAGATAATGGGAAGAAAGGGAATCATCCACTCTCAGCTAATAGCTTCTACTTTATCCTCCACTAATCTTCTGAACTTGTTATCATAGTTGCCAGCATATGGCCACTGTAACTTATTTGTGGCAAATCCTCCAGTGGTCATGTGAACTGGATGTGATACATGAAGAGATTAGGCACTAGGAGGGGTGGAAGGAAGTATAAGATACAATGGTAGCCACGGCCTGGTTCATCCACATACTGGTTCATCAGTTCTTGTATCACTGAGATTTAACCCTATTCTCTCAACATTATGTGCTGATATTTCACCTTTAGCAAAAACTGTCTTCCTGTTCCTTTTTCATATCTGTTTTTGTGATAATAAAGGTAAAAAACCTGACATGGGCCCTCTAGTTATGGGTAATAGGATTTAGACCTGGAATAAATCTAAGGATGTGGTAGTCCAGGAGTTCTTAACTTTATTTTTTTTAATCATGGCAATCTGGTAAAGCCAGTGGGCTACTTCTCAGAATCATGTTTATTTATTTGTTTATTTATTAAGTTCAATTTTATTTTCAGATCTACATTTTCTCCCACCTACTTCCTCCTGGCATTGAGAAAAAGAACAGTGTTTTAAAATGTAATAAATATAATTATAAATAAAAAATAAATAAGTAAAAAAATACAATACAAATAAATATAATTAAATATAATAAAACTAGAATTACCAAGGAGACCAATTTTAGTGAAACAGAGTCATCAGAATGCTTTCCAAAAAAAACAAGTTAAGACCCCTGGTGTAGCCCCACCCCTCATTCTACAGGTGAGGACACCGAGTCTCAGCTCAGAGAGATTAAATATCTTGCCCAGCATTACACAGGATCTCAGTAGCTGAACCAGGATTCAAACCCAGAGTTCTTTGACCCCAAATCCAGTGCCCAGATTCAGCTGCCTCATTCAGAGCTCTACAAAGGAAGGGAGAAAACCCAAGTTAATATAAACAACTTCTTTATGTCTGAAATTCCAACAGAGCTAGTCAGCATTTTAATGGTCTGAATATAAAACAGACTGTTTGTTTTAATTTTACAGTAGTAACTCTAGTATATTGGATTCTTTCTCTTAGGCAGTCACTAATTCAATTCTAAAGATATTTAAATGTTGACTATACATAACACCCCAGCTTTAATAGAGACATATGTTTCTAGGAAGGGACTTTTATTAAAAGTGCTCATTTTCATCTTGACTTATTTGTACAGAATTAATCTCTAGTACACAGTTATTTTAATAGGTTTTAAGAGCTTGAAATTGAATTAAGTCTTTTGGGACACCCGGTATGACTAGTACTGGGAAGGGTGTAGGAAAAGCAAAGCCTGGTTAAGAGCTTCCCTTCCTTCCTAATGGGGAACCAAGGCATCGACATAAAATGTTCAATAATAATACAACAATAATTAGTCAATTACCAAGTTGGGCCCCCTAGCCAGATTCTTTCCTTCACCCTTTGAAAAGTCTTACATTCATCCTTTACTTTCCATCGTGAGGCTACCTGGAGACATATCGATCCAGTTGGAGCCTCCTTGTCAACAACCATAAGATAATTTCCCACTAATTAACTATTTTTCAGTCATTTCAGTCATGTCCAACTCTTCATGAGCCTGTTTGGGGTTTTCTTGGCAAGGATACTGGAGTGGTTGCCATTTCCTTCTCCAGCTTATTTTACACATGAGCAGACTGAGACAAATAGGGTTAAGTGACTTGTCCAGTGTCACACAGCTAGTAAGTGCCTGAGTCTAGATTTGAACTCAAGTCTTCCTGACTCCAGGCCTGGTGCTCTATCCGCTTCGCCATTTGACTGCCCAATTAAGGAGTAGAGAAACACTTTTTTTTTTCTCCCCTGGCTTCTAGAAGCTTGCATACTTGGTCACTTGGTGAGTTAATATACTGTGCCCAGTATAACCTGTAAAGCCTTAGAACAGAAACAGTGAAGGACAAGAGAATGTGCTATCGACAATGGCAGATGGACAGGTACCTTTGTAAAATGTAATTCAGAACTACTGGTCTAGATGTTAAGAACCATTTTTGGGGCTTTTAAGATAACTGTGTCCTGGAGATTAATTCTATACAAGTTAGGCACTTTCAAGAAAAATCATTTCCTGGAGACATGTGTGATGTGGGCAGTGGTGAGTAGTGACCACATGCTGCTTTTTAGGAAGGAAGGGCTAGAAGGGGGCTACATCTAAATGCCAGTCAGAGACTCAAAAGTGTTGGCAAGGGGTACTGTTTTTTTAAACCCAAGGTACCCTCTTCTACTTCTAGAGTGGGGCTGTGGTTCTATTATATTGTATAGCTTTAATTTATTTAGATACTGGTGAAGGACCCAACTGGGGTGTTTTTTGTTTGTTTTTGAAAAAAGGAATTCTTTGTTGTGTTGTTTGTCTTTCTTGGAAGGTATAAAAAAGTACATCCAGTCATTGTAAGTGAATCCTCAAAAGAATAAATAGTAAAATTAAGAAGCAGAAAAACAAACAAACAAAAAAAAGAAAACCAACCTGATCTCATTAAAATCCTTTGTGCTCTTTGTTTTACCCTGAACAACTTAGCAAGGAGTATTTTTAGCACCTAATGTATTGTTAGCAATCGGTAAATGTAAAAATTCTATGCATAGAATAATGCACAATGTTAAATGCACATTTATGACCTGAATCACAGGTAGGGCCAAAGGACCAGGAGGGAGGTGGATGTGGGAGAGGGGCAGGGAATGAGAAGAGAAGGAAGGATGCTGGGATACCACATGGAACTGAACTGAATCCATGAGAAAGGACAAGGCAGATGTCACTTAGATCTTTTGTTAAAATTGTTTCTGCAGGTTATGACAGCTGGTTTCTCAATATTTCTGTTTGACACAGTCCTGGACATTGCAATGGTAGCTTGGTAAGTATTTTAAGTATTTTTAAGGATGGGTGTTGGCTGTTGGTTTGTTGCATACCATTGTTTAGGGATAAAATGGCCATTGGTAGTTTGGTAAGTATTTTGTACAAGCATAGGGGCCGGACCCTATTGTCTTGGTAAATTCAGTGATAGGAGATGGCCATTGGGCATTTGAATTTCATGGTATAACTCATGGTGAGCCTTGTGGTACAGAATAAGTGCTGGATTTGTAGTAAAACAAGAACAACAAAACCACCTGTATTTGAACCTAATTTTGCCGTTTCTTACCCCTGTGACCTTGGGTTTCTCTGAGCCTCAGTTTCTTCATCTGTGGGAAAAAACACAAAATCCTGCACCAGACTACCCAGAGAATTTTGATTCGGTCTGGAGGTTATGCTGGCCATTGTTGTCAGGGTCCCATTAACCCTGATTACCAGAGCCATGCAATCCCAAAAGAGGGGGTTTGGAAGGTATGGTCTAGGAGACAGTTGCTACTGTATTCTCATACAATGTCATCACTTCAGCATATTCTATACCGATCAATCAGCATATAAAATAGCCCAATGCATGAGACTTTTTACAGGAACCAGACACACACATGGGTCCCCAGTACCATGATGCTTTGCTGTAAAGACATCTCTCTTTCTATGTGTTCTTGGTTTCCTGATTGATCCCCCATACATATAGCTCTGCCAGCATAGCCTGGTGGCTCATCTTGAGCACTAGCCTTGAGGCCCAGGCTCTTCCTGCTTTTGTCAGCTACCTAAAAGCATCCTGGGGGTGGGACAAGGAGACTTTTATGCCTTCCTTACTTAGCATTATTGGAAACAGCTGTGGCAACTGCCATGTATTTCTAATTGTGGTCAGAAGTATAATAATAAACATACCCTACCAATTATTTTATAGTTTACAAAGTACTTTCACCTCCATTATCTCCAATGATCTTCACAACAAACCTATGAGGTAGGCAGGCTGGCTTTTATTATCCCTATTTTGTAATTGAGAAAACAACGTCCCGAAGCTATGGAGGGACTTGCTCAAGGTCATACAACAAATAAATTAGAGAGCTGGGACTTCAATCCAGATGGTTTTTTTTTGTTTGTTTGTTTTTTTTGTTTGTTTTTTGTTTTTCACTCTGAGAGGCAGAAATGGTAGGAAGGGGAGAACACTGGTTCCAGAGTCCAGAGCCCTGTGTTCAAATCCCACCTATGATTTTTGCTACCTATGTGACCTCAAGCATTTCTGTTCTCGGGGCCCCAGTTCCTTAATCTGTGAAATGAGAGGAGTGGACTGGACAGCTTCCGAAGCCCCCGTTAGCCCTCAGTCTAGGTCCTTTCTATCCCACCATGCTGCTGTAATGTCTCTAAACATATGTGCAATCGAAACTAATTAGTGATTCTATTGTCTATGTGGCAAAGTTAGAATAGACATCACGCTTTCTAGTCAGCTCTGTAAAATCAGTTCTTGTGAATGTGGTATATTTTCCATATGCAATGAATTAATTGAAAGCTATATGTTTGTTATTTAAAGGCAGTGTGAAGATAGAGTCCTGGGCTTGGAGCCAGGAAGCCCTAGGTTCATATCCTACCTCTGATACTTCCTAAGTGCATGACATTAGAGGATCAATAAGCATTTATTCTGCACTTACTATGTAAGTACATTGTGTTAAGTGTTCGGGATAGGAAGAAAGATAAAAACAGTTCCTTCCATATAAGGAGTTTACATTCTAATGAGAGAGACAATCTGTCTAATCTATATCAATCAATCAGGAAACATATATTAAGTGCCTACTATGTGCCAGGCACTATATTAAGAGCTGGGGATACAATAAAAGTCAAAGGACAGTCCCTGCTCTCAAGGAGTTTAGAATCTAACGAGAGAGAAAACACATAAACAAATATATACAAAGCAAGCTACATACTGGATAAATAGGAAATAAATTAACAGACAGAAGGAACTAGAATTAAGAGGGCTTGGGAAAGGCTCCCTGTAGAAGCTGGGATTTTAGTTAAGACTTTAAGGAAGCCAGGGAGATCAGTAGTCAGAGTGGATCAGCATCTGTATCTATATATCTCTATGTCTATATATCTATTTATATATGAGACCATACAAGAGAAATACAGAGTAGAAGGAAGGTAACTTTCAAAGTCACTTAACCTTTATGTACTCAAGCGACTCCCCATGTCTTCATAGATAGGTGTTTGGGATTTGTAGTCTGTCTTGGTAAAAGGAGTTAGGGAATTCCGCACTCTGATGAAATGACACATTTCTTGTGTCTTTTCTCATATTTGTTATGGGAGACACTGCATTCGTGGTTTGATTTGGATGAACTCAAACAATCCCAGGAGCAGGAAATTTTGAGAAGCAGCCTTTCATTCCCAATTGGCATAGCTACAGGGAAAGAATAGCCTTTGAAAGGCCGCAATAGTGAGCACTTGTATCCATTGGCAATGACCAGCTCTTGTTCTTGTGATGTGATTTCTGTTGTTGTTTTAGAGGGCAAGGAAAGGCAGAACACAAGGATTAATGAAACAGATAAAACTGCTCATTGGTGGTTCTCCTACTCACCATTGAGAAGGGGTGTGGTATAGCAGAAAGAGCATTGTAACCAGAGTCAGAGGACCTGGATGTGATTCTTTTTTTTTTTTTCCTTTTTTAATTAATTTATTTTGAATTAACAACAATCACTTCCATAAGGTTCTGAGCTTCAAATTTTTCTCTGTCTTCCTCCCCACTTCCTTCCCCAAGACTGATATAGGCTATACATATACATTCCTATTAAACATATTTTCACATTAGTGATGTTGTAAGTAAGAATTAGAGCCAATAAGAGGAACCACCAGAAAGAGGAAACAAAACACAACAGAAGAAAAAAAGTAGCAAATAGTATGCTTCGATCTTTGATAATTCTTTCTTCTTTGTGGAGAGCATTTTCCACTCCATCTCCATTTGGAGATGTCTCAGATCCTTGTATTGCTGAGAAGGGTTGTCTATCAATATTAGTCATCGCACAACGTGGCTGTTACTGTGTATGATGTTCTCCTGGTCTGGATGTGATTTTTGCCTCTGACACTTATTATCTGTATGACTTTGGGTCAGTCACTTAACCTCTCTGGGCCTCGGTTACCTCATCTGTAAAATGAGGGCAGAACCAGGAGAATAATTTATACTTTAACAACAACATTGTGAAAACAAACTTTGAAAGACTTAAGAACTCTAATCAATACAATGATCAACAATGATTTCCTAAACTGATGACAAAGGATGTTGGCCACCTCCTGACAGAAAGATGATGGACTACATATGCAGAATGAGAGAAATGTTTTTTGATCATGGCCAATATGGTGATTTGTTTTGCTTGACTATGTATATTTGTTACAAGGTTTTTGTCTTTCTCTGTTTCCAGTGAGGAAAGGGAGGTGAGAGGAAGAGAAAATAAGTGCTTGTTAATTAAAAAAAATAAGATTTAATTAAAAAATATAAATGCAACAGAGCAAGAAAAAAATAAAATGGGGGCTTGACCTAGATGGCATCTCTGATCTTACTCTAAATCTGTGAGCCTATGGTCTTTCAGCAGCCAGCTTGGAAGCAAAAACAATGGTGTGTGCTGCTAGCCACAAATATTTTATTGGCTCTGTTTGATCAGATCCATATGGTCGCATCCTAGCCACCAGAATTAATCCCATAAAGGAAAATAACCTGAAGAGCTTGTAAGTGGCTTTGGCCAAAGAAGATCACCCTTAGCTACGTGGCAGATAGTATGGTCCCAGCCTGAAAGCCTCATCCCGATCCCAAGTTACTGTCTGAGCTGCAGTCACGCCATTTTTTCCCACCCCTCCTACATATTCACTCATGGGTTAATCCACTCTGTCTGACTGTTGAATGCAGTATAATGAGGAGGAAGGTAACCGGATTGGAATTGTTGGTATTTCTTCAAACAGGACACCAAGAGCTCCTTTTGGGCTTAAAACTTTCCATGTGTAGGAGCCCTTTTCTGTTTTAGTGTGAATATTTTATTTGGCAGATACAGATTTTTTTCATTTAATTATGCTTCAAAATTAAAGTAAAGAAAAAATACCGCTTAAGAATGCAGTTCAAAACTAGGCCTTTTCTTCATTTTTCATTTTTTCAGAAGTTACCATCAAGGATTATGTTGTTGTTCAGTCGTTTCAGTAGTGTCCTACTCTTTGTGATCCCGTTTAGAATTTTCTAGGCAGAGATACTGAAGTGGTCTGCTATTTCCTTCTCCCGCTCATTTTACATAAGAGGAAAATGAGGCAAACAGGGTTATGTAACTTGTGCAGAGACACAGTAATTTTCTGAGGCCAGATTTGAGCTTACAAAGATGAGTCTTTCTGACTCTAGAACCAGCACTCTATCCAATTTGCCAACTGGCTGCCCATCAAGAATTATAACCTGTAGGGTTGGGGGGAGGGATTAGGAAGATTTCAAAAGAATAGCATTGGTAAGGTGGTGAGACATTCTTCTTTAGAATGAGTGGTGTTCATCCCTGTCCAGAGCCAAAGAGATATCGGGGTGGTCATAATGATGATATTGACAGCAAAAACAACTCCCAGATGTATGGTGCCCGAAAATTTCTGAAACAATTAAGTAGACTGGTATATTTTATAAACTTAGTTGTTTTTGTTTTTTCTTTTGGACTGGGAGCAGAGAATAGAGGGAGTTCCAGACTATGATTTCACATGGTGTAGGGAATTTCCAGGGAGGAAACTCCCTTTTACCAGTGTAGATTGGCAACTGTTTGCAGCATATAGTTATAGAGAATTCATTTATTTGTTGTTTGTTCTTCATTCTTGAAGACGACCATAACATCAGGAAGGTGATGTCATGACTTGCAAGTGAATTGGATTTAAGTGATTTAAGTGTGCAAAGTCACCAGCCTCACTTTCTCCTCTGGAGCCATCTGGGTCCAGTGGCAAAATATAGATCAGGAGGCCTGGAGATGGCCCCGATGCAGTGGGAGACCTTGGCTTCTTAAGCTG